GGAAAACCAGCTTTATCTCTTAAAATTCGAATAATTTTGATCTGAAAATTCGGTGAAAAATGTTTTTGGGATTCTCTTCATCTTTTATTAATGTTTTTTTCAAAAGCCAAAAAAATGTAGATATTAGCCAAAAAGATTTTATAGTATCATACAATACAGCGTGTCCCAGAAATAAGTGCAAGTATTTTAACTGGTAGTATAGTTCAACCCCAGAAACACGCCTATGAGGTTTTTTTCATGAAAAAAATAAATTCGAAATTTTTGAATTTTTTTTACTTTTTAATTAAAAACATAATTTCTTGATAATATGGCAACATAGGTAATAGATTAAGTATACAAGAAGGAAGATTCAGAAAAGATCCAGTGGTTCTCAAAATTTTAAAAAAAATTTTTTTTAATTTTCAAAGTAAAATAACCCCGTTATTTTGGACTTTGGACTTATTTAAAAAACGATAAAGAGAAAATATGTTTCTTTTATCGAGATCTACCAGCCCTTAAAATACTTGCATTTATTTCTGGGACATCCTGTATAATAAATTTGCAATAATAAATACAAATTGAAGTTTTTGGAATAGAAAAAGATGTTAATGCCTTATGTTAAAACATTTATCTACAGATCTTGTGCTAGCCATCATTTCTGGTATTTTTATAAGCTCGCTTAATTTTGTCGACACTTGAATAATTGTTGGGATTAAGAGTTATTTTTTATTTACTACTCAATTACTTAATGTCCTTAAATTCAACTTGTTAATTGGGTTAATTATAATATTCTGATAATAGGCGATAACTTTATATTAATCTGAAGAGTTCGTAGGGAAAAAATGAATTTAAATTAAATTTTTTTTGATCCTATTGTGACTAGGGCATTCAATCTCGGGATTTCGGGATTATAATTTTTCGATCCCGGGATCCCGGGATTGGAAGAACAGACACAGCATAACACAGGATTATGTAAGATACGAAAATACTAAAATAACAACTTGTGCACATGCAGTAACAAATATGAGGATCTAAACATGTTGTTTGAAAAAAATTCTTAAAAAAAACAAGCTGATCAAGAGTAGTATCACTCAAACCAGATCTGATTTTACTGCACAACATTCCAGCAATAGAAAATGTCATTTCTGATCCACACTCGTTGGAGGAATAATTATCAGCATGTCATAGGCTAACTGCAAGTGGAAACCTCGGTCAGATCCATTTTCGAAGAATTCCATCTCCCGGAATATTATTTTAGGTAAATCGATGTTATCATATCTCATTACATTATGTTGTTGCCATACATTCAGGGTTGTTTATAAGCGCATATTGTACTATCATGAAAGACTTGTGTACGATTTAAATTAAGGAAAAAATGTAATGATGAATCCCGAAAATCCCGGGATTTTGGGATTGAAAAAATGTCCGGGATCTCGGGAAACGGGATCCCGGGATTGAATGCCCTAATTGTGACTATTTTTACTTAACTTTCATTCTTTGTGTTTATTAATAATTACGAAATGGGAACTAGATCTAATTATTTTCATTTAAAAATGTTCCGGGAATATTTTAACAATAAAGAAAAAAAGTAAATTACACCAAAAACTGGTTTGTCTCATTTTCTAGGAATTGTTTTCGTCAGCAACGGACTATTAAACATCAATTTTATGTTGTAATTTTATGAGCCGGGTCGGCTGTTTGTAAAAACCCGAAAGTACGTCCAAAACCAAAATGCAGTCTACAGCAGGCGATGTTTTTCGGTGACTGGTTGAATTAAAATTTGTTCCAATTTTAATTCAACCAGTCCGTCATTCGAGTATTTTTAAGAAAAAATTGTATTGTAGGGTTATTGCATTATTTTGAGTGAATTCATTAGAATGAAATACGGGGTATTGAAAGTTAAACTATAATCTGTTCTATAACATACAGGGTGTTTCAAAAAATATGTGTCATCTCTCGTGGGGAGGGAGATTCCTGACGTAAAAATAAAATTTATTTTTTACATCAACAATTTTTGTGAAGTACTTAATACACCTAGAATCAATATTTATTGAGTAAATCTCGAATTTTTGAAAATGAGACACAATAATGTGATATAATTTTAAGACTGCGTGTTAAAGGAAAACCAAACTAATTTTTTATGTATTCGAAAATTGTATGTATTCAAACTGCATCACGAAACCGTTTTAGATTACCTCGTATTTAAAAAAATCTCTCATACCAAAGTTCGGAATCATCGTGATCAGTAGACCGTGTTTCCTTTGACAGACCCCTTCGTGTTTTTAGGAGGCTATAATAATCAATTAAGTTGCTTTCTTTTATAATTCAAAAAACTGGTACTTACAATCGGTTGTTTCATTTATAATAATAATAATAGCTGCCGTATATAGCGTTTAACGCCTTGGGAGAGCAAGGTACAGCTTGCCATGCTAGAGCCGTTCGGTATACAAGGAAGGTAATGTGGCTAGCACTAGGCTTCAACCGCCTATTATTACCTCAGGATTGTAAATCCCAAGTACTCATTTAAGGCTGAGTCGACCTAGGTACCCAAACTATTTTTATTTTAATAAAAATAGTCGGCTGATGAAATGCCGGGTGTAGGATTCGAACCCACAACCTTGATTGGTAGACGATAGCCTGTACCTCTACGCCACCGAGTTTGCCTCTACACCCTGTTGTTTTATTACTGTGTTTTATTTACTTTTTAAATAGTTTTTGAATTTCACACCATATAATTAATCGTGAAAAAATTAAATATCATATTCAATATTTATCTTATATTATTATTATCAAAGTTCGTCCAAGGTGTGAAATCTGCCGAAATATGAATAGACACAAATCTATTTTCAAATAATTATTTTTTCTCGAATTTTAAACTACACCATTTAAATATAACGTTTACTCAGTATAAACACACACACACACATAATTACATTAAACCTTCTTGGCTAATTGGCAGTAAGCGCAAACGCCATTATTTTTTTTCGACCCTAGGGTACTTTTTGTTTAAGAATTACAATCTCATGTCCATACTGACATATCTTTCGCTTGATGCTATTCGTAGATATATTTTTTACTTTTTTACTCTGAATGATCTTTATGATACTATCTATATAATTTATATTCTTTTTATTGGTTTATTAAATTGTTTCTTGTTCCGTTAGTGGTTTATTGTTAACTTAACAGAAAAAAATCTTTATAAGGTGGGTCAGATTGATTGCCCAACATGTTGATAATAAACATGCGCTTCCAAAAATGAAAGTTAAAATGTTTCGTTGCAATGCGGCATACCGTTTCGACACATTTTGATTTCACTTCTTTTCTGGGTTTATATACCAGCGCTGCTTGCATGGTTTCTCTTTACAGTTCCATCAAAATCGTTTTCGAGAGACAAAGTACTATAGAGATTAATAAGTAAATATTTTGGTAATGACTGTAAAAACATCGAAATTACATTAAAATTGATGTATTTCCAGATTTCGTCATTCAAAAATAATTTTACACTAGATATGTATTTTTTTAAATGCAATGGCTATATATTTTGCGGTGGCTTTATTATTACGTTGCGTCTAGGCTTGGAACTTTATTTTTTCTTATTAGTTACTCATTTTCCTACAGCTGTAATAGATTATATTTCGCTTAGATATATTATCTTCATTTCAGTAATATATATGAAAGTTTTTTTTTAAATAGTTTACGAACCGGCAACCGGCGCTTTTATTTTGTGTCTCTCTCTGTCTATCAATCAGTCATTTACATTTATCTCTGTCGCATGCATTACAATACAGATCAAGGAAATAGAGTGTCCAGGACCGTATATACAATGAGGCAAAGATGAGGCTAGGTCTCCACTATTTCAAATGGAACACACTGTATTTTATGACATAAATGAACGTAGTTTTTATCCAATATTTATGTTTTGATAAATACTTTTTATATTCTAAATTGATGTTTCTTCATTAATTTTCTGTTTAATAATGATCATTTTCAGCCTGCATCAGCACAATTAACTGCATTTGTTAATTCGCTATGAAAAATTGATTGTGAAATTAATTAAGACACTTTTAACTAACTCCGAATTTTTGTTGTACATCATTTTTAATGACGAACTCTTACTAGTAAAAAAAAATTGGCGCCGGGAGGCACGTATAGCCGCCCATACTAAAATATGTTAATAAAAAGTTGGTAGGCAGTTCTTTTAGTTTCAAAGTAAAGGAATTTTTCCAATTTTTTTTATCTCAAAAACTGCGACTTTGACTGATTTTGATGTTATTACAAATTTTGTTGCAAATATTATTCCTAATCTTAAATTGAAAACCGCGTTTCGCTAGCTACTGTAATTTTGGAGTTACGATTTTTTAAAATTTTTAACCCCCTCGCATACCCCCTTACCAACCCCTCACCCCACCAAAAACTAATGGCCAGATTCTCGGGTGCCACAGTATTTTTGTGCCAAATTTGGTTAAAATCGGTTTAGCGGTTTTTGAGTTATCGTGTTACAGACAGACAGACACCATGAAAATATTTTGTATTTAGGTCATTTATGACCCAAATAACTCATTTTGAGTGAAATTAAAAAAACTTTTTTTTGTCGATCTTAATAGCCTACCGTACCTGTTGGTATGGTCGTCTAAAAAACAAAAAATAAAACATATTTTTTCAATTTAAAAACTGAAATTTACTTCATACATTTTGTATTGCTTAACAAAACATAAAGTTAGATATAACTTTATAGGATATCTTATGAGTTAGAGTTGATTTAGGCACTGTTAAGTTGGTAGGTCATTGACAATGATATGACCCGAGGACCGCGGTTCGGATTCCGCGAAAACAAAATAGACCCCTTCCAGATTAGCCTTAGCAGCAAAAAAGAGACACGTTAACTTAAAATATGTTTTTCTTTACTCTATTTCGTATTTTTAGTATTAGGTTTGTTTCTAACTCTAAGAGGAAAATTGTTTTTTTTTTATTACCACCTGGAATGGTTTACCATGTTATTAATATTGTATATATTTTTCCAGCTGTACGAGCAGATCGGATGCGAGGAGGAAGAAACAAATTCGGACCCATGTACAAGAGGGACAGGGCGCGCAAACTGCAGATCATGAGGCAAAGACAGCTGGCTGCGCAGACGCTCAGGGGTCTGGTCAGCTGGCAGGTCCAGAAGTAATGTATAACAGTCAACCTGGAACGTCTCCCTTCGCCAATATTCATATTAAACAGGAAATACAAATACCTCAGGTAAGTATCCCAGTACATGGTGATAAAGTCAGTAATATAATGCTTCTTCATTTATGCTTTTAGAAAAATTAAACAGCCTCAATAAAATTAAGTATTTTCCTACAATGCCACCAACGTTAATAAGACAATACTAACAGTCTTACTAACAGTAATTTTTAATTTATTTACTAACAATCCGGTATGATCGGAACCGATGTGTCGTCTCTACTGAAGTAACGACTTGCTCTAGAAAGTTGCTTTTAACTAAAAGATAGCTAATTGGCTCTTCTAAAAACTGTCGTCGCCGGACTTTTTGTTTTTCATTTAGTTAAAAAATAAAAAGTATTTTTTTCCTGATATCGTGGCGGATGCGCCAGGCTTCAACTAGTTAGACAATATTTTCTAATAACAATAAGCAGCAAAAAGAAAGCTTCCCATAGGCTTTGAAAGCTTAGGAGAAGTTCGTGGCGCGGTGATTTTGACTTCACATCGCAAAAAAAAGTGCTTTCGTACTGTTATTTTGATATCTGTTATTTTCTGGAAGCAACAACGGATGAGAGCTTGGTAAAACCCGAAGAGATGCGCTCTCGACATCACATAGTCGCTATCGGCGGACTCTTATTTTCATGCTTGTTATTTTTTGGAAGTAACAACTGTTATATGGGGTTAGTTTTGAGTAAGCAGTCGCTGTGGTCACACCTTTATCTCTATAACTGTTATTTTTTGGAGCTAACAACTACTGGGACCTGTTATTTATAAGTAACAGTTCGTTAATAATAACAACTTGATTCTGATATCTAATAATCATCGAAATTCTAAAAACACGATCAATATTGCTGAAAAATTGAATCAAGGATTCATAAATATAAAAACAATATATGATATTGAAAATTTGGCTTCTTTTTTTGGAACAGTTAAATTATAGATATAAAATTAATGATTGCTGAAATTTACTGAAAAAGAATAATGAGGTTGCATACAAATATTGTATTTTATTTATCTTTTATCGTGATTATTATTCAAATGTATTAACATAAATGCCTATTGATATTTAAGCTTGTCTATTATTAATGATGAAGATGAGTAATAAGATGGTGTAATTCTGTTCATTACTGTGTGTGTGCATCGAAAAACAAAGCCTATGTTATTTCCGAATACAGTGGTGTTATTATCTTTTTGCAATCAGCCTCAGTTTTTATTATTATAAAATTATTCAAATAGCTTTGTTAAAGAGAGAGAAGTGGGTGATACCTTTCGTTTTATCTCTACTTTTCTGATCAGAAATTATTTAATTTTATGCTCAAACTTTTGTTGTTTGTTTTTCTTCTACTTTCTTTGCAGAAAGGTCGTCATTTTACAGATGCTATGATTAGTTGTAAAGATGGGGAAAAAGAACAAACAGGAAAATTTTTGTGAAAGAATTAATAATTTTTATTTTTTCCATAGCAACTGTTAAAAGTGTATGTTATCTTATATCTATCAAAAATAGTAGATAAAATAGTACTTCAACCGCAAGGGTAGATTAAATGATACTTTAACAGCGAGGATAGGTTAAAAACTTTATTTCTTAGTTATTAAAGTTTCTTAAAGTTATTCGGGATTTAAATGGAAGTAGTTTGGATATGGCGTTTATCAGCCTCAGCCTGAATATCTGTTGGTAATTAACTTAATTTGTTTTGAGCTATTTCTGGCTCCAATTCATTCAGAAATTGACACGAAAGAGAATTAAAAAATATTTACTCAAAACTGATAACTAAAGAGACAGCTTTATTTATTTGTCAAATTACATAGAAACCAACGCCAACCCAGCACAATATTTTTTCTACTCGTAATAAATTCCTTGAAATAATAATTTCTGAATATTTTTTAAAACGTAACTCGCTATGGAAAAAAAATATTGTTTTATACACGACGATAAAATTGCATTATCGTTAAAATACCATTTTATCGTCTTGTATAAAAAATAACTAGTATTATTTAACGAATCGATCATTTGGACCTTTAATTGTTGCGCATTTCTTCAACAAAAACTTTTTGTACAGGGTGTGTCATGTAATAATGGTTAATATCAACTTTCTTCTTAAATACTTTATCATGATCTCCTTAATTTCTGGAAGATAATTAGATATTTTTCCATAATATAGTTCTTTTCCTATATAGTAACGTCAAAACTTCTTTTAGCTAAACATCAAACAGCAAGCTCGTTAAATTTTAGGTAACGCGTATGTTACCAAACGACTAATATTTGTAACCAATACACAGCGTCTAATATTGTGTCACTGCGTTTCAACAAGTCGTTTTGAAGAGGCTTATACCAGTTAAATAATTTGTTTAAATATTGACTCGCACTTTGAGCAATCGTTTCGACGGCGTTAATCGTTGGGTAATAGGTCGAGCACAACATACTCCCGGCCTAGAAATCGATTTCCATGGGCTATTTTCAGTAACAGTGCTCTATATTTCGTTGGATTGCATGTAAGAGGTCTTTTGTTTGAACCGACAATTAAACCTGCTTTTGTAGTAAAGATAAATGTAGTTATTATCAGTGATATCTAAAATTCAAAACTATTATCCTTTAATGATTACCCAGTTTCACTTTGAAAAACCTTTGTGTAACTTTAGCAATATTTCGAAAAATAAATACAAACTATGATTCTTAAAAACAAACGGTTGAGTGGAACTTAATACGCTTCCTCACGAACATACCAGCATACAGACAACATTAATGCCCGGACCCCATTAGCCAACACGCTACGCCACGCGGTGCCATGCTACCCACGTCATGAAGATCAGTGCGTATGTTTTTCCATTTAATTACATGTATTGCGTACACACTAGGCAACACGCCACAACATTCGACGCTATAACACGCTATGACACGTGTGATGGTCGATTCGTCGGTCCCAGATCTCACCGATGTGTGTTACGGCGTGTTGTTCCCCGCCTGCCTCTCTAGTCCCCTTGTTCCAATACATTTTCTAAATCAAGTGTCCTTTTTTTAATTTTACATTCCACGAGGTTATGTAAATATTCAAATTGTTCTCTGTCCATACAAAACTACATATGGTACCGATTAGGATCTGCTTCGAGTTCTTTAATTAGCGTATCAAAGGCACCATATTTATTGCGTTTTTTGTTTATTTTGTGTACCCAAAATCTTTTTTTTTTGCACTTTCTAATACAATAGCAGCACCTGTACACTTCTAAAAATTCTTCGTCACTGGAAGAACTGCTTGAATCAAACAGTGTTATAACTTTTCTAACGGATATTTTCGAATGCAATAGAAAACAAAAATGTTTTTTGAGTGTTCAATCAGTAAGAATATGAATTCTATTATTAATTTTAAAATTTAATAATCAAAAATTAAGGAAAGAAGGTTAATGCAGATTGTGAAGTTAAGGTATTATGATTATAATATCGGTATGGGTATCGATATTTCTACTATTTTCGTATCCCTAGTGACAACTTTTTTAACTCTAATAAAAATTTCAGGCGTGTTAACACGTGTTACCTAATGTGTACACCTATTCCCACGTCGCAACACGTGGGATAACGTGGCATCGCGTGGCATCACGTCGGGTGTTGGCTAATGGGGTCCCGGCTTAATTATAATAATGATTCTTAACATTTTCTAAAATATATATCTATGCTATATTTTTTATTATATATATTTAATTATTATTTATTTAAAACAGGATAATACTTACTGATAAATTGGAGACATATATAGGAAATTCTACAAGGAAATAGATTATAACATACAGAGTGCGCCTAACAACTCAGATTTTGCAGAATTCTAACAAATTCTCATTTTAAAAATAGATCGACTTGAAATGGACGGTGTTACTGCTACTTACATTTCCTTTATCAATCAATTATCGTTTTTTATTTCTTTGATACTCCATTACAAGGCTGTTAAAACAAATCAATATAAATTATGTCACTCACCATCACTGTTCTAGAGTAATATCTTAAACAGCCTCTACACTATGCGAAGAACTCTTCGAAACATATCAAGGTCGCATTTCGATTTATTTCCAGTTGTCTTGGCCCATTTCGGTTTGCCTCGACTTACTTTCGATTCTTAAAAGCGCCTGAAAACTACTCGTGAGGGGAGCGTGGGGGATCTTTTTTGCGTTTTTTGTTGCCTCGTTCAATTTTGTTTTGTTTTGAGCTATTTTCAAAACGTGGCGGTATCTGTATCTAAGGCAAAGAATTTTTTTTTCATAAATCTCAGTGAAATAAGTAAACCTAGACATTTCTAAAATAGCTGTTGTTACGATGATATTTCGTTAATTACATCTCGTTTTATGTTATATTGATAAATATTCCACAAAATTAATATACATATAGATATTTAGGAACAAAACTTTTCACTTAAACTGCAGGAATATACTTAATTACAATATTTTTATGATTTAATTTTATTATAATAAATTAGTATTATAAAATTGTATATGATATGTTTGTTTACGGCCCTAATTGATTAATATAACAGTAGTATTGCTTGATGAGTAATACTGGTAACGTTATTAATATATCGAGCTGATTGGGAAAATTATTGACTGACCCGATGACAACAAAAGAATGGTCCACGGATATTTTTTAAATGTTATTGTTGTTAAGAGAAATCTAAACGATACTTTCATTAGCACCCAGCATGGTTTGATATAAATCCATTCAACTAGTATTTATTATGCAGGAATTTAGACAATTAAAACTAGGAAAACAAAACCAAATTCGTAAACTAAACTTTGCTACAGACTATAGTTTACTTTACCATAACCAGAAATAACTAAATAATTAGACGATTTTTTAAATAATTTTGTGTATATTTTGTTCATGAGGCGCAATACCGTGGATTATAAGCCGATAAATGGTAGACCGCCAGCTAGTCACTGTTTTATATTTTTTACTTTATTGTAATTAATAATATTAGCCAATGATTAAAACTAAATATTCTTGCGTAACCTTCGAGGAATAACTGTTTTTATATCAGTTTTTCCATGTTTAATTGTTTCTGAAGCTACCACAACGTTTGAGCTTGATTGTGTCGTGCTATTTCACAAAAAAGTACGATAAATATAAGCCAGTGTTATAAAAATTAGTTTCCCACGTTTCCTGAAATAGATCGAGACCGACCGTGATTGGTTGTTTGTTTTTTTATTGTTAATCTTATATTTATCGTACTATTTCCAGAAATCTGCGAAAAAAAAACCATTGCGAAATGTTTTACGAAATATTTCCAGAAATATTTCGTAAAACATTTCGGGGATAGTATAGAGGCTGTTTTCGAAAAGTGAATTAATTGTTAATATTTGTTTCCAGGTGTCTTCGCTGACCTCGTCCCCCGACTCCTCACCCTCGCCCATCGCTGTCGCCCTCGGCCAAGTCAGTTCCCAGATGCAGATGCCCCCCGGCACCCAGCAGCCCGCTCTCCAGATCGTCGGCGTGCAGGGCTCCGCGCCCCCCAACGCCAGCATCGAGCAGAAGCTGTGGGGCGCGGCCAACTCCACCACCACGTCGCCTCACTCCCTCAGCCCCAAGGCGTTCCAGTTCGAGACGGTGGTACCGGGTGGCGGAGGCGGCGGCGGCCCCCAAGGCAAAGTCTCACCCCTCATCCGCGACTTCGTGCAGGCCATCGACGACCGCGAGTGGCAGAATTCGCTCTACGGACTCTTGCAGAGCCAAACGTACAATCAGTGCGAGGTGGATTTGTTCGAACTCATGTGTAAAGTTTTAGATCAGAACTTGTTCTCGCAAGTGGACTGGGCGAGGAATTCTGTCTTTTTCAAGGATCTCAAGGTCAGTATTTCCAGATAGTTGAGTGCTTTGTACTATACATGGCTAAATATTGTTGGTTATTTATTTGGAGTGGTCAGAATTAAAATGGATCAAGGTCAATTTCCTACTATTTTAAGTTAATCATCTTTAAGGTTGATTCTCACTATACCTTCCATATCAGCTCCCTTCCGTTTACATAAAATATTATATCATGTAAATAAATAGAACAATGCACACTATCCTTCGATACATTTTTTTGGCGGACGGACTGAAGCGTATCGGAAACAGCGTTGTCAAGTTCTTACATTTGTACCAGCTCTGTTAAAATTTTGCTGATATTTATTTATTCTTTCACCTCTTAATTAAATCTATTACCTTTTTCAAAAGATACAAATTTTAAAATAAAACTTTCGTCATGATATAAATTGTACAATAAAAAGTATGGAACTGACACGGTACGGAAGCTTACGTCGTCAATACAATAAAAAATACGGAACGGATATGGAATGGAAACGGAAGGTATAGTGAGAATCAACCTTTATACGTTTATAAAATATTGTTTTTTCCAGTATGGAAATGAATCAAGTCATACTTCACGCATTAAGCAGGTATAGCCTGTTTCTGTTTGGTTTCTGAATATTCTCTTGGTTCCTTAAAAATTAATTTAAATTTAACGCTGTGCTCGATTTTAACATACGTGCTAAAGTTTACAGCTATTTTTTTTATAAAATGGATGATAATGAAACAAAGTCTCAACCATTTACATCAAGTAATTCAGATTATCAGCCATCTGAAAGGTCTGATTCTATCGATTCTGAAAGTCGTTTGATTTATCATTATTTTCAGTATTTCTATTTTTCTTACAAATACTTAGATATCTAACTGATGACTGATTTTGTTGATCTGAATAAAACTTCACGAGGAAGAAAAATCTTATCACTTCATATAGACGTAACGTAATACACTCTAAAAGGCAACACATGAAAGATCTTCCCTTTATCCCGCCTATATGCCATAATTTTTATAAAAATCGAAGAAAACACTATTAATAGACACTGCGAAGTCAACAAATTCTATTATCTAAAATTTCAAATATTTTCAGAGTTAAAAAAAATATAAAGAAACATTCTTAAAAATGACCACAGTTGTATTTTCAGTTACTTTAGTTTGCAATTACTATTTAAAATGTATTAAAGCATTGTGTCTTTTTTTCCAGCTTGTTTTATTTTAATTAAGTAACATTAAAAAACTTTAACTCTCATTTTCTCCATAATTATCTTCTAGGACTTGATCGAGTTCTCTTCTGAACCCCTCATTTGTTACTTACAAAAGACATTAAACACTAAAAGTTACTTATAAACATCCAATTTATTAAAGAACTAAAATTGTAAATAATGATAGCCCATAGACATCGTTTGCATACCATCTGCCTGCAACTATCATCCAGGTTCCGGTTCTTTCGGATCTATATCATTGTAACCTTTAATTTTAATTTAACTTTATTTTAAAATTTAGTTACATACATGAAGTAGTCGCGTTTAAAAGTTTTAAAGTCCGTTAGGGAAATCGATATTTGCGTTTTACCAAATCCGTATCTCCTGATTTTGGCTGTTTTAATTTACGACTATGAGGCATATCATTACAAACTTTACATACTAATAAAAGACAATGGAGACACAATTACAGCCTTCCATCAGAACTGCAACATAGGAATTACTTTATGCTAAAAGCAAAAAAATATATTTTTACGAAAAAAAAACTAAAACTAAATTTGAACTTAGTCCTCGTTTGTTGATTTTTTTGACAAATCCATTTTTAATGCATTCCATTTTGCGGTACACCATTATGACTGTGGTACACCATTATCCTAACATGCCAACGTTAACTCATCAGTGTCGGACTATATATCTTTTTGTTACAGGGTATGTTATCAGTTCCCTTGATTTTAAGTTTCGATAAACTAGTTTGATATATTCAATGCAGGTTTTCGATTTATTTGATATATTACATTTTTTAAACCCGGTCGTAATACATATACTTCATGTGTCACTCCGACATTAGCAACTGTCGCTTTATGCTTAATTACAGTAATAAATATTTAAATCTCTATAAATACGGCTATTTTCCAGCCCACTCACTTATGTTTAGTAACGCCATAAATTATATCTAAAATAAAATTATGAAATTAATACCCAGTGGCCGTTAAGAAGTCGAATTCAAATAAGAATAATACCAGAACAGCTACCGTTTTAGAATTTTAACAATATCGTTGGAATAAAAAGAAATAATATTTGGTAAATAGTAAATATACACGGCACAAAAAACGGTATTCGTCTATCAAAAATAGTAGATAAAATAGTACTTTATCCGCAAGGGTAGATTAAATGATACTTTAACAGCGAGGATAGGTTAAAAACTTTATTTCTTCTCGCACGTTTTTTAATTGCTTCCATTTTTGAAAATTTTTGTATTCCTTTTCATAAGTTATTCGGGATTTAAATGGAAGTAGTTTGGATATGGCGTTTGTCGCCTCAGCCTGAATATCTGTTGGTAATTTACTTATTTTTGAGCCATTTATGGCTCCATTCAATCAGTAATCGACACGAAAGAGAATTAAAAAATATTGACTCAAAACTGAAAACTAAAGAGACAGCTTTATTTATTTGTCAAATTACATAGAAACCAACGCCAACCTAGCACAATCTTTTTTCTACTCTCGTAATAAATTCCTTGAAATAATAATTTCTGAATATTTTTTAAAACGTAACTCGATATGGAAAACAATATTGTTTTATACACGGCGATAAAATTGCATTATCGTCTCCCGAAATTAATTCACTCGCTAATTTTATCGCTCGTGAATTAATCTTTTCGGTCGACGATGAAATACCATTTTATCGTCTTGTATAAAATATAACTATTATATTATTTGGAACGTTTAAAATTGTTTAAAAAATTATTTGTGACGTTTGAAAAAAATAGCATGTTCTATTGACTGTTAGATATTTGAGATGCGAGAAATTGCGATGCTGTCAATATGTGCTCAACGCGCATCCAGAACACGATTCGCACGGCAACGAAAATGCCAAAATCGACTGCTGGGTGTTCCGCTAATCAAATAAGTATTCGAAAGTCGCTTATCGCTTTGAAAGCATAACGTTTTTATGTCGAGTTCCAGAATTCGGGTCCTGATCGGTTAAGATTGTGGCTTCGCATCATTTGTAACGGTATATTTTTTTGGATTTTTCTTCTCAACTCTAGTCTGAAAGACGTTGTGTAGCATGTTAATTTTTTATACTTTAAAAAATTCAAAAACTTAAACAAATAATCAATAATAAACAAATAAAATCACTTATTGAGTAGATATTTCATCCTGTGTATGAAGGACATTGCGTAGCTCGTTAATTAAATTAGGGTCCCTTCCATTCAAATGCGACGAAAAACGGACGGGTTAATTAGCGCAGTCGTGCCCACCGATGACAGAAATATGGGACAGATCGATTATACGGCGTACCGTGGGTACACAACGTGTGCAATATTGTCCGCGACCCGAATGCCCGACCAAGCCGAACGCCGTAATCTTGGACCGGCCACAGCCGCCAGCCGAAGCGATTGCCCAATTCTTCCTTTACCAAATTGAGCCGTATTTAAATAACTTAAAGATGGCGGCAGCTTGCGTGTTGCCGTGCTCTTTCTACTCTCTTTGTTCATTACTACATTTTAATAACTAATCTTACTCTCTATTTTCTTTTTAGGGTTCCGTACCCAGAGGGTAAAAACGGGAACCCTATTACTAAGACTTCGCTGTCCGTCCGTCCTTCCGTCCGTCTGGCTGTCACAAAGGTCTATCTTATGAACCGTTATAGCTAGACATCAGTTGAAATTTTTACAGATAATGTATCTATGTTGCCGCTATAAGAACAATTACTAAAAACAGAATTAAATAAATGTTTATAAATAAAAAAGGACTTTCACTAAACATTATCTTTTAAGTAATAATTTTACATAGAATCTTTCAAGTCCTCGGTGGCCGCGTGGTTAAATCGTAAGTACCTTGACGCTGCTATGACGTTGGAGCCGTAGTAAGGCAGGTTCGAATCCTAGTCAAGGCGACTTTTTTTAATCGTTTTTTTTTATTTTACATATTTATTTTTACTTTTTACATATTTATTATTGATTAATGCAATTTTTAGTATATTTAATGTGTTTCTTCATTTTTTTTAATTACCTATACGTGCATTCAAAATTTCAGCAAATCGGAAAAAAGTTTATAATAATATAGTGTCTAATGTTGTATAGATAATGAATGGTACGGAACCCTTCGCGCGCGAGTCCGACTCGCACTTGACCAATTTTTTTATATCTTCTTCATAGCAAATGCAAATATTGCAAAAATCGTTGGAACAGTAATTACTTCGTGCATAATCTAAAGTCGGGAACAGGCCTATCGGTTTCGATACCTGTATGCCGGAGGACGTTCTGTTCTCCGTCCCGGAACTCCTTGAATTTTCTCATACACCAGTTTACCCTCTTTTAATTATTTTGTCTTCAAGCCACTGTATTTTGTGCTAACTGTACTTGCTCTGTATAGAATATTCAGCCATTGTTTAACGTCACGTCATATATTGTTGAACTCCCTCAATCACTTACCAACCAGATGAAAGAGATTGGTGACGTCATTACGGCATTTCAAATGTGAAAATTAAAATTTGATTGTTGCTGTAAAACAAAATTCTATATTTTTATTGCAAAAATGCTTCAAACATTTAACCAAAATGAAGAAGAGCTCATTGCTAAGCTTATAAATAATTCTCGAGAAAGAGACGCTGGTAGAACACTCTTAAAGATCGCGCACACTATACCTACACGGACCAGTACGGACCAGCACAGCACAAACCTGCATCCTGCATGACGTCGCACACTTTACCGCCACAGACCAGCAACATAAGCGAGAGTTTCGAAAAAAGTACAGTTGTCAAGGCTCAACTACTAGAGCGTGCAATATAGAAGTATTGAAAATG